ATGATTCCAGAGCATGGGAGGTCATTCTCGTTACTACTTTGTCACTATGCTCCGTTAGTATTTGTAGTTGTATTTTTTTTTTTTCTTCTCCATCATCGTTCATCATCATTTTGGACAAATCGCGATTTTTCTTATTAATTTTGCGAAAGATCGATTACGGGTTGAATTAATGTTGCGAAGAAATGATAATCGTGTTTGCTTTAGAGTTGCGAATTATGATACCGCGATTGTCTTTTACAATTTTGATTTAAATTTTATAGTTGTTTTATGTTATAGATAGTAAAATTTGTCTTGCTTTCTATTATTTTAAATTAAATTATAGAGTCATTGCTTTTAATTAATTTTCGAGTGTTAAAGTATTTGAAGTAACTTTTTGTTCGTACAGTTTTGTATTGTTCACAATTATTTTCATTGAATTTAGAGTTAGTGTTGCGACATTATTTCATCGTGATTTCCAATTATTTTTATTCTTAGTGTTAATGCGATAATGATTGATCGCGTTTCTTGAAGTAGCGTTGCGTTTACAAAATGCCCAAATTCTTCCACTGGATTCGTGGAAGACTGTTTCTGCTCCTGGATCATCTGATCCAGGTACAAGAGCTATACAGAGGTGGTCATTCATCAGCAATCTCTAGCATGGTTGCACTGAACGCGTCGCAATTAGTGTTGCGTATTTCTGAAGATGAGTGCATAGATTAATAGCATTGCGTACTTATTTTCAAGAGTTTTAAATATAACACTCTTCGCGTTTGATTTTGAAAATTTTTTATTTCATAATTAGTAGTGCCAGTGAGTTGGTATTGCGAAATAAAATATTGTTTGTTGTTCGGGTTCATTTCTAAGAACTGCAGATTTGACAATAGCCTTTCTAGTTATTGTATTGAGTAGAAAATGTTTTAGGTTTCCTTTTTCAGCATCCTTTACTACTTAGCTTTCATTATTGAAAATACTGCTAGTTGAAAGACGAAACAAAATGTAATTTTAATCGAATCTTCTTTCATTTTTGTCAAAGGTTTCTTAATTTTTAATTTATTCAGTTTAAAAATAATTCAATTAATAAAGTATAATTATTAATTATTTAAGTAATATCTTGACGACATTCTGATTTTTTTTGTACATATATCTTTACTGCAAGTCTTTTTATTTAAATTATAATACTAATCCAATACATAAGTTTCAGATAATTTACATTAATTTACAGAAAGTTACAGAAAATATACAGAGATATGTACACTAAGGAGGTTTAGAAAAATGGAATATGAATCAGAGAAAGTGACTAAGAGGAAAAAATTGTCACAACAAAATGATGTTTCATTCAAGTAAATAGTAATTATTATATTTTACAGATTTTTACTAATCTTTTTCAGTTTCTTACATGTAGTCTTGACATATGAGTAACTAATTTGTGAGCGTATGGAATTTGTATATTTTTCGTGCAAAAATATTTTATTAACTATTTCTTCTACATTGATTATATCTGTAAATAAAAGGGTTGTCCTTTCTTCTTTTCTTTAATTTCTCTCATATCGAACTTTTAATAAAGTTTATTCGAGCTGATAGATTCTTTAGTATTGTATTAATAACTTTAGAATTTTAGTTTATTTTATGAAGAAAAAAAAACCATCGTAATACCGTAAAACAAGGATATATAATGATACAGAATGATTTATGGTATATAATAGAATAATTTCGATTAGTTAGTTTCACATTTCAATATTGAAAGTTTGACAATAATACTGAATAATAGATTTCAAAAATCATGTTTCTGGCGTATTCACTACTTGATCAATTTTTGATCGTTTTACTTGATATAGTTCCCCAATTCACCATTGTTTAAATATAGAGTGCACTAAAAAACCAATGATTTCGTTTTACTATGTCGGTATTTCAGAGCATGGGCACGAAGTCTCATAAGATGGAAGGTCTATTCATATACGTTGTCTATGACTCTAATAAAATCAATTACAATTACACGAGATATTTATTGTATAAAAACTATTTTCATTTAAAAAATCATATTCGTTTATTTTTGTAGGAATTCTTTTTCTTTGTTAGGAAGTAAATAATAGATCTAATATTCCATTTTTAAAGTCCTTTCGTCGGTTTCATCCCTTTACTCTTTTGTCCTGGTGGATAGTGAAGCTTTAGAAGATTTGCAAGAGTCAGCATCATTTCTGAAATTTTTCGGAACAGTTCTTTGATTTTAAATTTTGTATTCGATAGTAAGTAATGGACACTAATAGCCACTTTTCTTTAACATACTTACTGACATTTCGATCGTAATTCGGACAGTATAGGCGGGGTCAGGGGTCTTACGATGGGTTTTAAATCATGGATCTTCAGATGCGTGTAAATAGGAATCTGGAAGAAGTCGATTTATCATAAAACTATCCCGATTTCTCATTTCAAACGACAATACAAGTAAAACAAACTGCGTCTAGATTTGAATTTGCCCGCCTCGAAGGTACAAACCATGGAGTACCAAGTTATCGATAAAGACATACTCACGTAAGGGAGTGACGTATCAAGAGTTATCGGCTCGATATATTTTTTCGGTATATCCGGAGCTCGATAAGAGCTGCCTAGTATCGGTGGCTCTAAATCCTTTCCATGAATCAATGCTGGCGATACTTCATTTCGAATGCTGTTTAAATCCGACTCATTCACACCGTTCGACGAGTCGTTTTGCTCGACTACTTCCGTACTACTCTCCATCCCGATAAAATAGGCTCTGCCAATAGACAGGGGTTGGTAGAATTTTAAGATGCAACCAGGCCGAACTACTTTCACTGAAATTGAAGCCCGGAGACCCACTCTAAGTCGAGCACTTGCCTCCAGATAATGATTCGAGGATGCTCTTCAACGTTATGCCCGGCGTAGTATTCACAAACTAAAGTGAGTCGATATTTGATCGATAAGTTCCACTCTGTTGAACACCATGGAATCGTTAATTATTCCCTCTGCACGCGATTCTTTCATTCTTCCGACGAACTTATTTTTACATTACCGCGTTAGTACTTGTTTAGTATTTGAAATCGTATAAAATATTATATCTTTTTATTTCTTTACGGGACATTTATTTACCACGGAATTTGATATTTCGTTAAACAACTTTATATTAAGCTTTCGATCCCTGAAGTTTCCCTGAAGTTGGAGATCTTCCCCTTACAGTATTGAGAGAATATAAGGAATTAAGAGAATGTACAGGATAAGGATTTTCCTGATATCAAGTTCTAATTCTCAACCAAAAATATCTTCAAGTTCTCGAAAAATGTATAGGAACTGAAAAATTTTCCACAAATCTAAAGTGTCAGAAGAACCAATGCTATCTATTTACTTCCTATATTCTTCTGATATCTACATCCTGTTATTGGGGATTTTCTCTTCATAGACGATTTTCTGATAAAGTAGAATAGCATTTTATTTCTTGAGAAAGATTTTTAGGTAGATTTTTATTCCTAAAGACGCTCCTGTGTTAAAAAAATGGATCTTTTTTTGTACATAAGAGGATATACATTTTCTATATCTTCTCTATATGTATTTCTCTATATGTATTCTTGTTCTAAGAATTTCTTCATTTTCATTTCATTAGATTTTTGTTCATGCATACGTAATTACTCTTTGTAACTATTTATCTTTGTCTGCGAAGACATTAGTAACAGGGAAATTTAATTTCTTTCACTTTCTTTATCTTTGGTAGACGAGAGTTCTCCTCCAGTGTAAAATTTGAACAAGCTAATGAAATTGTACTCGAGGGATTCATGCAGTCAATAAACATTTATAATGTCATTATTTTAATTAGATTTCTTATGGCTTCTCATTTCTCTTCTTTCTTTCTTCTCTTTCTTTCTTTGCGGAAGATAGGGAACTGCATCGGAAATTGCATTTCGCGTTTTAGTCGAGTAATTCGTTTACGACATAAAATGTTGGTCAACGTTTGAAAGTAAGTGAATAAAAGACACGTGTGCATGGTTTATTTTTTATGTTTATTTGTCTGATGAAAGTGGACAAAATGAACGGGGCCTGCATGAAATTTCTATCGCGTTTTCGTAACGGAACTTCGACGCGGAAAAGATGAGAGACACAACAAAGTAAAAATGACATGACACTTTTATAACCACGAAGCATGAACAGCGACGAAAAAAAAAAAAGGAGAAAGATTTTACATGTTTATGAATTTGTGACGTAGAAAATGGAGATTAAAATTAAACAAAAGCAGCAATATGCAACACGCGAAATATGCACATCATAAAATCGAATGAAAATCGTATTGGGTTTTACAATAGAAAAGTAATCAGACAATCTTTGATTAAATTTTAATTAAATTAAATTAATTAACTCAAGTAATTTAAGTTAATTAAATGAAATAAGTAAATTAAAATGACTTATTTAAACCGCAATGTTCAAATATTGACAAAGTTCCATCTAACTGTATTCGAATATTCCTGAATATATCTATTAAAGATGGTGAAACTTAATTTCTGTCTGTCACTCTAATTTCAAATCAGTTTCACAACTATCCAAGCTTCAAGCAACTTAGCGTTCCGCGTGTAATATATTCAATTATTTGATCGATTTCACTTCACTGAAATGTTGTAAATCAATCCTCGAGTCCAAACCCTAATCGAATTCAATCACCGTATGAGCTCACTCGAAAGTTTCAAGCACTTCATTCCCTTATCCGAACTATGCTCAATTTTATGACACCTTATCTTATTACTGATTAGATGAAAATATTTGAACTTGGGATCGAACATATGATTATCATATTGGATTGCGGATTTTTATGTAAATTTATATTCTTATAATACTTGGCTGATATCGTTGCGCCATTTGCGACGTAACAAAGCGTACATTCGCGAAGAATTTAAAATAAAATACAAGATCAAATATCTTAAATTTTACTAATTTAATAGAAATAACTATACATAGTTTTATTTACGACTTCACGGCACTAGTTGAGGATTAAAAATTAAAAACGGATGCTCTCCTTTGATATTTCGTGTATTTGATTTTTTAATGAATTTGATGAAAGATATATGTAACATCCAAAAGAGAATATTCTTTATCATTTTTAACTCTCTTTTGAACTTGTAGTTAATTTATACGCGAATCATATCGTATTACGTGTTTCCCCAACAAACATAATGAAATAGAATGGTCCATTCATTTTAATTCGCACCAACTTGTGCGAATGAAACTTTTGTGGTCCTGTTAAAGGGAATATATAGAAAATCAATCTTTGAGAAGTTTCTAAGACATTAGCTCGATAGTAGAGAATAGTCTAGGAACCTTTATTTAAGTTCTATTTCTTTATTCGCGTCGAATTGATCACTTCGACTAATGACGCAAATAAAGATATAGGACTTAAATAAAGGCTCCTATTGACTTCGATAGTTCTAGTATCACTACTTGTGAAGAGGAGTATATACTCGTACAAACAGAAACTTGAAATTCAAACCTTGCCTGAATCCAAATGGAACTTCGTTCGAATGTTCGTTCTATACAAAATCAAGGGAAATTGTCAAAGAAAAAGAAAAGTCAAAATGCCATGATGAGTCGTCGGACGAAATTCAACGAAGTCTGCCATTATCCAACAGATCCAACCGAGTCAGAGGAAAATCCCACGTTCTCTCAGATTCGAGAGTGAAAAGTCAAAGATCACGAAAACGATGCGAAACAGAGATCGAGATCGTCGAGACGAGAGGTAGAGAGCATCGAGCGTCCGTCGTTCAACGTCGTGACGTCCTGGTCGTCGTCTGCGGTAACGTTTGCGCCGATCATCGGGGGATATAGTGGTCGACGACTGCGACGTCTACGGCGCACCGTTTCCAAAGGGGGCGGAAAGGGCGCAGAGCGTCGGCGTCCGTCGAAACGGCGGAAAACGTAACGTGTTTTATCGATTTCGTCTTGGTCGGCCATGTTTCGTACTCCGCCAGCGGTCAGGCGCACTCGTGTCCCACCGACTCGAGAGAGAGAGACCCGTGCCACCGATAGATTTTCCACCGTCTACATCGTCGTCGATGTCGCAGGGCGTATAACGATGCGCTTGTAAAACGCGTAACGCGCCCCCTCCTGGTGTGTGTGTTTTTTCTTCCCTTCACGTCGTCGTCGGACGCGAGAGTCACGTTCACGCTCGTCTTTTTCCAATTCGGTGGTGTCGAGGTCTCGAGAGCAGAGCGAGAGGCGATCAGCGAACGAGGAGGAAGCGCAAGCCCCCGTTTCTACAGCAGGCAGCCGACGAACAAGCATCGTGAGTACCGTTTTCTTCCGCTCGAGAGCCAACCCCCCTGTCTCCTCGTTGCAGAGAACTTCGTCCCTCGGTTTATATTCGTTGAACGTCTAATCGCTTGGTTTCTCGATTTCTCGATTTCGTGATATATTTGGTTTCGGTGGTGGGAGTCTGGCGAGGAATTTCGGACGAAGGAAAGTTGTACGGTTTCTTAAGCTACGTTAAGAGGGCTGTTTCTTCGATGCCCTCCACCTTCCTTTCGTTAGCTTCCCTCTCGCGGATTCTCCGCTTGAAATCGTAAACCGAGGAGTTTCGCTTTATTGACGTGATAAAGTTTAGGGGTTTTGGTTGAGGGATCTTTTCTTTCTGGTCCAAATCGGTGTTCTTGACGGTTAGAAAACTGGGGAAACGACAGCGAACTGGAGTGTTTTCAGAGGCAGATTATGGATTTGTTTAATTGTCCCTCGCGAAGAATCAATATCTGCGGTCTTTCTTCGTTAATCTCCTAAAAAGGAAAGAATGCTTTCACATTTCTGTGTCATTGTCGAGTGAGAAATTCTAGATTAGAGTAAATGGTGTTTGTTAGAAAATTCTTAATGATGGTGCAAAACAAGCAAGCGTTCCATTTTACTTAATTTCGAGGACTGTTTGGAAGAAGAACGGCCTCGTTCGACATTTGCCACTGTCGTTTCGAAACTATCCCCTCGTTTTATCTTTGTTGACTTCTTCGTTTATCGTCATTCGTGTTCGTCAACTATCCCTCGTAATTCGTCCCTTCGAAATTCGTCGTTCCCCACCCCTTTTCTTTCCCTCCCGATAGCCCGGTGATTTTTCTTTGTGGTCGACAGCTTTTGCAGCGATCACGTACAAGCCAGTCGACCGTGTCGATCGATCGACAATCGTATTCCTTCGATTCATCAGCTCGCCAGCCTTCTCTTTCAACTCTTGACTGATACCAATGGGAGCCAT